AAAAGTAAGGAGAATTTTTAGGTTTATGTGTAATATTATTTTATTAATAGAATGTGTGGTTTAAATGAAGAAAGAGAAAAAGAATGAGAATGAGAATGAGAAAAAAATGGGTGCCAAACGGGGGCCTAATTACCAGATTTGTGAAATTAAAATTAATCCTCTTGTTTTTTAAAATTAGTCTTTAAATGTAGGTTTCTAGGTAATTTTCCCAAAAATGATTCATATTGTTAAACCAAATTCATTAAACAAGACTCCACTTGTTGGCGTGACATAAAGCCTATGATATATATGTCTTTTGAGAATGTGCACGTCAGCCTTTTACATTCTTCCATATCATCAATCTTGGGATATGGAATGCAACTTGTCCATAAGAAGCAGTGAAACACATGGGAATCTAAGAAATATCTTCACAAACAATTCTCTTGGAGATGTTACACCTTTTTCAGTTATCAAATAACTCCAAATCCACCACCTTCTCTGCTATATATAAACTCCATGAGTGATAAGAGTTTCTCAACATCAAACCTAAACAAGTACAGGTCTCTTGATCTAGCATATCAAACATCTTTCTTAAATTCGCAACTATTTCTCATCGGTTTTCGTGCTTTCAAGTCGGTTTTTTTGGGATACTTTCGAGGTCAAGTAATGGATGCAGTAACGAGATTGACAACAGACAAGCCAGTGGTGATATTCAGCAAAAGCTCTTGTTGTATGTGCCACTCCATTAGAACACTTATAAGCAGTTTCGGTGCAAACCCTATGGTTTATGAACTGGATGAACTTCCCAATGGAGAGCATCTAGAAAGGGCACTGCAGGCTTCCGGACGAAGGCAAACTGTACCAACTGTGTTCATTGGACAGGAATTTATTGGAGGAGCCAATGAGATTATGAGTCTTCATGTTCAGGGCAAACTAGTCCCCTTGCTCAAGAAGGCTAAAGCCATATGGATTTAGCATCTTTATTAGTACGTAGTAGTTAACGTTTCATAGGGAGAAAGGAACGGGTAAATTTAAGTGGGAAAGAGTACGAGAAAAGTTGCTATTAGAAGTTATTGAGCATGATTTTATGTATCATGCTCAATTGACTACTATATGTTTAACCTTGTGCTGTGTATCTTTCTTCATTTTATTCAAGTAATATGACAAAGTAGTACTTGTTTTACAAATATGAATTGGCATTTCTATTTTATGCCTACCTATATTAGAGAAATAGAAAAGAAAAAACTGAATCGAGAAGCAAACTTTTAAGTGCAAAACATCATTGGCTCTTTAGTAAAGTAGATTATATCTATAACTTAATACAAATATCTATTTCAAAAAATATGGTCTAACGTATAATTTCCTGAGAGTCAATTCCCTTGAATTCTCTCAAGCTCATGATCATATAATGTTGTACGATATTAAAAAGAAAAAGAAACTAGCCTATGTTTGACAATCATTATTTCAAAAGTTTTTAATTCTAACACTCATTTTCAACCACATATTTACATAATAAAAATATTTTGCACGTAAACTTAAAACTTTTTCTTATTTTTTAACTATATATTTTCCAAAAAATCACCATTCAAAACTCATTTTCTTCATAATAATGGCCATCAAACAGGGCTAAGTTTTACTTATTGTAAATTTTTAGTGTGGAAACTTTTCTATTACTTTATACCAAAGATGCTAGAGGTATAATTGAAGAGAGTCGTGTAAAAATAATGTATCAAGGCAACCAAAGTACAAAAATATTATCCGTTATTTATGAGCAAAATTTCAAGTTGTCTTTAATTTACTAACAAAGAATCATACATGGTTAAAGAGGAACTTAATATTGACTATTGTAGTTAACATTTTCATGTCAACTAAATAAAATTACGTAGTTATCGAAATTTTTTGTCGGACACCAAAATTACATCCTTGTCGGAAAGACCTCTTGAATCAAAATGATTGACTTATCGCAACGAAATTACATAGATTGTGAAGAAGTAATGGATGTAATTAATTAGAGAATTCTGCGAAGGAAGGAAGATTGTTGTCTCTAAGAGATAACACGAAGATCAGCTTCCCAGTGATCGAAGAAGAAGCATCTGCGAGAGGGTTCACCACAAGAGCAAGTTGGTGTGAACTCGAAAGTTGCGTCTGTCATTAGGGACTACTGAGCCAGTTCTCAAAGATGAAGATGATGATTTTGTAGAAAATTTACTTGGTGATCCTGTAAAATGCAAGCTATCAATCCCAGATCACTTATTTTCTGATTTTTTTGTTAACTTTAAAGCTTTTCGTCCTCTCTAGTTTTTGCTTTATCCCATATAATATCAGCATACAGTAAGGAGACAGAATTCACTCTATTTTGAACCCTATCCCGTTTCTTAGGACAATGTGCATCTGGTGGTGGAATTATGCCAAGGCGTCAGTGATGAGTTTAACATCTTTCGTAAGAGACTTAATAAGAACTTTGGGTTTCCTTTGAATTTTTCAGCTCCTATGCTTCTATTGGCCCTTGGAAAACCTGGCTTACTTAAAGAACACATCTCCCTTCAAGCATTCACCTTTAAGGGAGTTGGAAATCAGAAAAAGTAACCTAGTCATAGTAGTGAATGAGGACTCAGGATTCAACTGTTGTCCCAGTCTTTTAAAACTGTATCTGGATTGGTCCCTAATGTTTGCTACTAGAATTAAACTAGGTGTTTACCTTCAGGGGTGGACCCAAACCATTTGTCTTGTGGGATCAAAAATGAGAATTCAAAAATATTTAGAACTATATATCATTACCGAAAATAAGTCAATAGGCTATTACAATTGTAGCCTACGCGT